ATCTGCTTGTTTACAGCCTCTCAAGAGCTGGGATTACAGGCGTGCGCCACCACGCTGAGTCTCAGTTGCTGGCTCAGCGTGTCCCAGGGGTGGGGACTGTACACCAGGCCCGGGATCGAACTCTCAGCCCCTATGCCTTGCAGGTGCTTTAATCTGCTGAGCTCTTTGGCCCGCCCTCTAAATTTAGTTTGTTTTGTTTTGTTCTGTTTTACATTTAGTGAAGGTCATTTGATGAAAGACTATTCTTAATGGAGAGATGAGAAAATTGAAGGATAAATCAGAGAACTCTTAAACATAAAAAGGAATTGATAAAAGACCCAACTAATGTTTGGCAATAAGACTAGACCTGTGGTGAACCTATGACATACAAGCTGCAGCAGGCTACTTAGCATTGAAAGTTCTAAAAACTTCACAGTCACTGCACTGGATTCTCAGCTCAAATGTTGCCTCCTTGGCAAGATCTTCTGTGATCATATTTTCTAAAGTACTATTCTTTCGACTGCAGGATAATACTATGAAAAGATAAAATCAAAAATCTAGGTGGGTGTGGTGGCACATGACTATCATCCCACCATTTGAGACATTGAGACAGGAAGATTGGAGTCCCTCTCTGGGGGGTACATGTGAGTTCAAGGTCAACTTGAACTACAGAGTGAGACCCTGTCTCAAAAAACAATACAAAACAGAAACCTGATCATGTTACTGCCTTACTTAAAAACCTTTTGCTGCTTTCCATTTTCTATAATGATTAAAACCTAGCCTGTCATAAGATACTAGCTAGCTTCTGTCATTTCCTAGTAGCCCAGAACTTGTGCTAAAATTTCCTCAGGCTCCTCAGTGCCATGCTATTTTATCCCTCCCCTGCCTGTGCCCTTTCTTATGTTTTCCAGATAGAAAAATACCATTTTTTTCCTTTAGGTTTAGTTTTGAAGGTACTTTTCTGATAAGGCCTCTTTGACTTTGGTTCTTCTACCCAAGTTCCATTCCATTCTTTTGCCACCTCTGGAACTTGGTTGTTGCAAATATTTGCTTATCACACATTCTCTGTGATTAAATGGAATCCCTCTGGGAATTCCATCTTTCTTCTATGTCCCTAGTGTCTGATACAACTCCAGTTTCTAATAAGTATATACTGAATAAATGAACTGAAAAATCTTGTCTTTTCATATGTTGATTTCCTATTATTTACTACTATCCCTTTTGTAAAGGGGAAAGGTGTAAGAAACTAAAATTGCCTAAATTTTCTTATCTAGATAAAAAGAGTGAGATGAGTATTTATTCAAGTTTGGATATGGGTTTTTGGAATATCAAAGAAAATTAAACTTGGTTTTATTTCACATGAAGCTATTTCTTTTTGTTTTTCCCTGATTTTCTTAATTCTAAAGAACTCTGAGATCCTCTCAATAGTATATGAATTTATATTTATTCTTTAAATTACTTTGAATTAATACAATTATCAAGAGGCTATAATAGGTTGTAATACTGGGGTACTTTAAGGAGAAGGTTTAGATGCACTGCGTAGAGAAAATAAAACTAAGTTTCAGGTAGTGATTGCAGAGGGAAGTGGGGAAAAATTGTAGTCTACTCATTAGGCCTGCATTGAGTGAAAGTTGTTTGTATCAGTCATAATGTATATGAGAAAGCAGCTATTTTCTAGTAAATTTTTAAAAATAGAAATTTATTATTTACTTTAAAAGAAGGTTTACCATAGAACATTTAGGAAATACATATAAACAAGAAGAAAATAGTTGTGTAATCTCAAAGATCAGAGAAAACTATGACTTTTATATATGTTGGTTTTGAAATAGACTATCACTGAGTTCAATCCCCGGTTCCACCACCAACAACAACAACAAAAAAATGAAATAGACTATCAGCCAATGGTTTATTACAAAGTGGGATTACGCTTTATGTGGTTTTTTATAGAGCTTTCCCCACTGTCATTTAAATAGACTTTTAAAACATCTTGTTTACTTATATCATAGTATACACTGAATGATTCAAATAACTGGTCTTCTATGTTGGGCTTTTGGGTGTTTTCCTATTCGCTATAGTAAATACTCCTTAATCCTCATGATTTTACATTTCAATTTTGTTTATGGTACTTTCTTTGAAATATAGTGAAGTCTGTTGATCTTCCTTTAGAGTTCTACCTCAGGTGTCATATTTAGGTAGGCTGCAGAGTATAGACCTGCTTAATTTTATTTTGCTCATGAGTTTTTAACATTAAATTTTTAAATCTATTTTCAGCTTATTGATGGGGACATAACACAGTGGCATAATCACCTGCCTGGCAAGAGCAAGGTTCTGAGTTCAATCCCTGGTACCCCAAGAAAATAAAAAGTTAAATAATAAAATTAAACTTATTATGGTGTATTACAAGATGTTTATGTATCATTCATAGTAATTTTTTGATCCTGCAGTTTGTATCAAGAACTTTGTCAGGAATCAAAGATCATACTACTACAGATCTATTTATGGCAAATTTCATATAATAGATTCTGTGGTAGCTAAAGCTCATTAGTAATTGAATTAACCAAAATTAGCCAACCTAGAAAATGAACCAGTAAGTGACTATATCAACATAACTCTAGCTTTATACATTTTTCCCTGAGTCTTAACTTGCTCAAGCCAGTGTTGCAGAGACATGTCCTTTTTGGAATGATTGTTTCATAGATATTAGGTTTGTAATGAGAATATGCCTACGATATTGTTGGCTTATACATGTTAAAAAATAAATCACCTAAATATTTTACAAATTTTGCAAATATATTTATTTTGGTTTTTCTAGAATCTGTGTTTGTGGATATCCTCGACAGCATGTAAGGAAATACAAAGGTGTAAGCAGCAGGATTCCAGTCTCTTCAGGATTCATGGTGCAGATGTTAACAGGAATTTATTTTGCCTTGTAAGTTTATTTCGTATGCAAAGCAAACCTTTGTTCTCTTTGGAAAATTATAGTTTGTTAATCTATTTTTACTATATCGTAATCTCAGTAGATCAGTAGTGTATTTTTATGAAAGAGTGGAAATCAAGAACTTGATAATTTTTATTTAAAACATACCTTTTAAAGTTGCGAAGAACTTCAAACCAATTAAAATGTTTCACTTTTCTTTAAGAACAAAATGAAAAATTAACTACAATACTTAAATATTTTCCTGGTCTCTTCCTTTAGTATTATACTCTTTTTCTGGGCTGCAATTAAAGCATGCTAAAGCCTCTTTGGTCAGAAATAGTTTGTTACTACTATTAATCTCTAATATTGAAGTTCAGTCTTACCTAATGACTTAGGTACTAGTATATTTCTTTGAACGCTATCTTTTCCACTAGAGCATTTAATATATTAATCATAGTTTCTCTGATAACTTCAACATCTGGGTCATCTCTGAATTTATTTCTATTAATTCTATCCATGCAGTATGTTCTCCCTTTTCCTTGTGATGTACATTGTAACTTTTGATTGTTCGTGATTTTGTTATAAGATAGGAAAGTAAAGACATAAATATTTATGTCTGGAAAAGGACAGAGCTCTTTGCTTCTAAACTGCTGGTGGAATTATTACCTGTAGTTTTGGGAGTTGAGTTTTGTTGTTGCTATGGTTACTTCAGAGTGTCACTTCAAATTCCTCCAGTGCTACTTGATATTTAGGATGCGAACTGGAGAGTTCTCCTTAGGAACATTCCTGCTCTGTTGGGTAGCTTCAGGCTGTCCCTGTATTCCTGCACCTTGGAGAGGGTCTCTCTCCATGTTCTTGCTGCTTCTCCAGCAGTAGAGTTATTGTTTGGGTCTAGGTGTGTACTAGCTGACAGTGAGAGAATTGGGGTGGCAAGTGGTTTTCTCTGTGACCCTGATCTAGCCTCAGTTCCCTTGTTTCTGTTTCTCAGGGATGAGAATTTCTCAGTGATCTTGCTGCTCCTTCAGTGGCACCAGACCCTTAGTAATACTGGCATAGAATGATGATTTTTTTTTTTTCCTTTTTCCCTCAAAGCCATAAATCTGCCTTCATTTTATGCCCAGGGGATGAAAGTGTTTGCTGCTACTTTCCCAAAAACGTTTAAACTTTAATTCTATGAAGAGGAAAACATCTGGTGGAGTCTGTGCTTTCCCACCTTTGTGGCCACACCCCTTAAGGCCTGCACCCCTGTGGGGAATAGCTAGTCAGAGGCTGTGAGCTCTTCCTCTGTATGTTCTCCCAGAGAGTCTGTCTTTTCCTGCCAGTCCATGAACCAGCCTTTAGCAACTTAGCATTTGTTTTTGTTTTAGCAACTTTGCTTTTGGCGGCTCCCAACATTTAGGAGTTTGTTAAAAGGTTTATCTGAATTCTTTTTGCCCACTTGGAATGTGGCCCATTTCTCCTTACACTTCAGAC